TTTTTAATGTAAAACGTTCTTCTTTTACAAATGTAAAAGCCCTTTTTCAACAAAGGACAACGAAATGAATCTGCCTCAGCCTGAAGGAAATGTAAATTCACGTCTGTACAGTAGAGAGCGCAGCACAAACAAATCTCGTGAAGAATATGACAGGAGATGACAGTTCAACACTATTCAGCAATAACAAAAATCAAACACAAATGCGTCAGTTTTGCTTGTTAGTACGGTTGAATTGGATCATCGAAGGTCAGTAGCAAAGACATTGGTTAATAAAATGGGATTAAATACATTTATTTAACATTTAATTATTGCAGGTTTGTATAATTTTCTGAGTTTGCATTGCACTGTTTTTATTGATTTTGAGGAACACTTAATGTGTTTGTGTGCAGTGAGATGAGTAAACACATGTTGATATTTAGTCTAGAACTACAGTAAGATCACATTCACACACAGCGCTCTGCACTTACTCCTGATTTATTTCACTATGGCAACACCAGAGCTGTCACTCAATACATGGAAACAAAGTAACTGCTGTTACTCATTTGAAAAAGTAACTCCGATATTTCCTTCTAAATTAAAAAGTAATGCGTTACTTTACTAGTTACTTAAAAAGTAATCTGATTACGTAATCTTGATTACATTACTTGTAATGCGTTACCCCCAACACTGGTCAGTGGTGTTGGTATTTTGCCTTGGTTACAAAGGCAATATAGTGGGCCGCATCTGTGACATGCTGTCAGTTACTATAGACAACGGTTTCCTTCATTTCTTAAAATGAGCATGAAGCGTTTGACAAACTTCCCCCATAGTGACCATAAGTGGCCTACATTATTGTGAACAAGGATCCGCGTCTTCTTCTTTGTCTTCCTCACTCACAGGAGGAGTTCAGTCATCCAGTGGACAGTTCTGGCCTTAACTGTGGATGAAGTCATTAATGCTCGGCGGATACTCATCAAGGCTGAGATGGAGAAATACATGCAGAACAAAGAGCTTTATAACAATCTGAAGAAAGGCAAGGTGTGAATATCTGTATGGATCACATGCCCAGTCCAACAAGCCAAAGAAAACAGTGCTCATTTATGTTTTGTTCATCTTTGTTTTGTAGATATGCTGCTGTTGTCAGGTGAAGTTTCCACTGTTTTCATGGCCGTCCACGTGCCTCCTGTGTAAACGGTCTCGGTTTCGTTTTCATTAATATTTCCTGCAGTGTGGAATATTAACATTGTTCGATTCGCTCTTCTGATCTCACAGTTAATGTGTTTTCTCTCTCTCTTTTAGGTCTGTCTGTAGCTCTTGTAGTGCAAAGGTACTACATGTTTATTTCATTTAAAGTCATGCATCACTTAGTAGCAGTCGCTAGTAATACGTTTTTCACACTATAGAACACTGACAATGTTCAATGTTTAGTTTCATAAAGATATTACTTTACAACCTCGGCCAGCCACATATTATGAGGTAGTTCTCGCTATAAATGAGTTTATGACTGCAAGTTGATAATTGGTTCTTGTTCTTAAAATCAACATTTACATTAGTTTATGGCCATGAACTACATAGGTTCAATAATATGCTAAATGAATAGCATGATATTGTCTTTTCTGGTGAACTACAGTGAGAAAGACACAAACTCCAGAAAGTGCATTTGTACTGTTGGTATGTTAAACTGGCACACTTAAAGTCTGCTAAATTGTTTTGTGCTTAATGCACTTTAATTGTGAGGAAGTAGTGCTTGAAATCCAACTAAAGATATACTGAAGTATATTAGATTGTGCTATTGCAAGTAAACTTTAGGTGCACTTACATTTCTTGCATTTAAACACCCATATTATTCAAAGATCACACAATCCTCATCAGTAGTGGCATTAAAACACATTTTAGGCTTAATATTAAGAAATGTGCATTGTGCACAAGTAGTACTCCAAACAAAGTTTAGTTATAATTTTTATATCAGTCTCAAGCGATATGTCAGTATATATTTTAATAGATTAGAACTATACTTAGTATGAAATAAATTTATTTTAAATATATTACTTTATAGGGTGTAAATCGCTGAACAGTGAAGATTAAGAGTTCAGATTATCTCCAAAACATTTAACAACTAATTAGCAATTAAACCCAGTTTCAATACAGCTGTAAAAACAGAACAAATACCATTCATATTGTCAGTGAGTAACTCATTCACATATCATGACTTGTCACACAACTTTTCCATGTTGGCATCTGCATTTTGCTACTAGCAAGTAACAGATGGATTTAATCTAAAGTAGAGTAGAGTTGGATTGGACTCACAGCCTCACAGACGTCAGTAACAAGTGATACGGGAAAACCTTTCTCCTCCAAAAGTTAATAAGCTTATTTATTTTGCTAACTATGCATTGATTATATGGTTGGCTGCATTCTTCTATTATTAGTTATTACCCATCTGCTCTCCTACCATTTGAGGACCAGTGCTTTAGGGCTTCTTTTTCTAAATTAAGTTTTATTACACACTGCCGTTTCAACAGTAGAAGCAATGTCACAAACTCCACAAGTGCTTTATTTTGTCCCTTTAACAGATGAAAATTCCATACAAAAAGATGGCACACATTCCCGTGCACACTGCGGTGCGAAAAGTCACAAGAGTGAAGTCTATAAGTGAGTAAATATATACAGCCACATTCCACACCGTCTGTGCTGGCCAGGAATTAGCTTTGAAATTACATTAGTAACAAAGTCACAGCTTTGAACTTACCAATAACATTTTTCCAACATCAACAAAAAACCAGAAGCTGCATCTGACATTATGCTTATTTACACAGACTGTTGCTCAAAGGTGACGTATGCATTGACAAGACAATTGCATAATGTACATTGTAGTCAAATTTACCTCGTTTCTTATTTTGATGAACTTTGCACTGTTATTAAACAGAACCGAATCTTTATAGAGATGCTTTGAGTTTGTTTCATAGCTGGTGAACTTTGTGACATTCACACAGTTAATGAACTAAATTAAATCAACACTGAACTAAATTGAGCTGAATAGAGCCACTGTTGTCTGTAGAGCTGCACAGCTGAAATGGAATTAATTTCATAGTTGAGGAATTTTTCAGCGCAGTTATTTTCCTGTTTAATAACGTTTGAAGCAATATGTATTGTATAAAGTGCATTATACTATGGTCTGTCTGAAAACTGGATTCTGATTGGCTGGCAGGTATGCATTAAAACTCTTTAATGCACAGGTAGTTCCAAGTCAGTTTAATCACCATTCTATATTAATGCGCTGCTTTAATTGATGCACACTAACCAACACACACACACACACACACACACACAGAATGTAAAATCGTTTAATGCACAGCTAGCCATGCATGCATTATCCCTTACAGTCAACTGGAGTGCTGGCATGATACAACAGTTAAACCGACATTAGAAAATGCTAAAGGTCTGTCTGTTTGTCTGCAGGTCTTTGTGCTCTCTCTCCAGACACTCTGTGGAGGAAGCGTTTCCCCACCTGTACGCCGCAGGCTGCAACCTGAGAGACATGTGCTCGGACTGCACAAAGTTTGTGGCCGATGTCATTTCCTCCAGTCGCAGGAGCTTGGACATCATCAACAACACACCCAAATGCAATTAAAGGACAACCTCGACACATCCACATCCCACATCACAACCACACGCTTTCTGTAGAGATGTGGATCACATGTGAATATCTCCCCTCCTGCACTATGTACATCTAACCACCACATGTATAGATCAAGGGACGCAATGCTTGAAGGCTAACGAAGAAAGACAATCCTTTTGCATCTTTTCTTTGATTTTAGCTTGAGTATAATGCTATATAACTGAGCCAGGACCGTCCATGCTTATACAGTACATCTGTAAATGCATATTTCTCATATCTAATAGCAAATGTATTTTTATGCTTTGGGATTTAGCTCTATTTAGGGTGATGTAATTACCTTGGGACTGAGTCAGGCTGGATTGTGAAAGTGAAGGTCAGAATGAAGCAGATAATATCTAATTCTGTGTAGACTAATGAAGTGGCCTTCTGATCCACACGTTTAACTCACTCTTATTTTGTAAGATCTGCAATAAAACCAATGCCACAAAACGACTGCTCTCTCCAGTATGTGATGTTTCCACACAAGGGCCACATGTGGGTGCCATACTCTTATTGTGTGATTATCATAATATATGTTATGTGTGTGTGTGTGTTTTAAAGACTATATGGATAAATATAATTATATTAAAACCTGCCAAGAACATCTTTGGGAAACCTTTTACACCAAAATTATAAGAAAAAACCCCACTTGTATTTAAAACATATATTTTGCATAAAGTAAATGAAATACTTTTATGATGAAGATGACTTGAGTTGTGTGCTAACCTGCACACATACACAAGTGATGAAAAGCTTTTGCAAATGGCAGCTGTAATGAGGTAAAAATCTATACATGGGCTTCATTTAAAAGCTGAGGTGACCCATTTAGAGTACGAGTAACACTTTAGAGCAGATGAGAAGAGTCAACATTGTTTACAGCTGACACATATGTGCTATATTGATTTACCAAACATTTGACTTCAATGCAGTAACGTTTAATTACAGATAAAATGGATAGTAATCATGATTGGTTTTTGCCTTTAGAATTATTTTAATTTTTTGCTAATTAAATATGTAATTAGATCTGTCTATCTATCTATCTATCTATCTATCTTAGTTTTATTGAACACTAGTATATGTTATCATTCAGCGTGGTGTCCTTTTACAAAAGAGATTCGATTTGTATCTAATTAATTAATTATCAATGAGAGAGGCGAGGAATTACAAAAAATCTTCCCAGCAAAAGTAAAATGCACAAAATAAATAAAGTCCTTTAATAAGGCCGTTACAGTGATTTCACCAGAGTAAAGTTAACTTGAGTGAAATCACAGCATAGCAGAGTGACTAGTTGCCTTTTTTGTGGGGAGGGAAGAAAAATAGTTTTAATCCCCGCCCATCTCATGAATAATTAAGTACATACACATCTTATGGTTATCTTCGCCGTCCGATCTGAGGATGTTTTAATTAGAAAGTTTTTATCGTGCAGCGATCACAGTTTCAAGCCGCTGCAGAAATACACCGATGTTTTAACTTCTTTAATAGACACAGAATCTGTTCCTGTTCCTTCCTCTGGGGAAATGCGCGTGTGAGTGGGTATGTCGAGCGAGTCTAAAGTTTAGGATGAGTTAAAGTTTGATCATGGCCGTGTGGACCCGCCCGGAGAAACAGGGTCATCTGGACCTGCTGCTGAGTGACCGCTGGGTCCGGGTCACCGCGGAGCTCACGCGGGACAGGCTTACCCTGACGGCGGAGGGCGAACCCGGCGGGCCCGCGGCACACTCCGAGCACAGCTCTCAGTTAAGAAACGGGGTTTCCGGTGGCAACGAACAGAACCGAGATGTTTTTCAGAGCCGCGGGCAATACGACAGTCAACGGGTCAACGGGTCCGACTCGGAGTCCAGCGGTTATTGTGACCCGGATGGGGTTCGGAGGGTTCGGATAGTCAAGCAGGAGTCCGGCGGGCTGGGGATCAGTATTAAAGGGGGACGGGAGAACCGTATGCCCATCCTCATATCGAAGATCTTCCCTGGTTTAGCGGCGGACCAGAGTCGAGCCCTGCGGGTCGGCGACGCGATCCTGTCCGTCAACGGCAGCGACCTCCGCGACGCCACGCACGACGCGGCGGTGCAGGCGCTGAAGAAGGCCGGGAAGGAGGTGACGCTGGAGGGTAAGCCGATCACTCGAGCCGCGGGGATTCTGCAGGCCCACACGGAGCGCTGAACTTCTCACTTCAACTAAACAGCGTGTTTATCATTGATAATGACACAAAGGTCAGAACTTTTAGTCTGGCTCTATGAAGCGAGCCTGAATAGGTTTTATAATGTACTTTAGTTATTGTTTCGTTGAGTTTAGACTGTCTTCATGTCAGTAAACAGAAGTTTGACATTTGCACTTTTAAAATATAATTGGGGTTTATAAGTGTGTGAGTTACAATAACATTTAAAAATCACAACTGAAGTTTGGATATAAGATTGACAGTGCATGAATCTAGGTCTTTTCTGATAACAATACGATCATTTATTTTGCTCTAACAGCCAGTGGCGGTTCTACATGGAATTACACCCTGGGCGAGACCCCCTTCCAGCGCCCCCAAAAAACACAAAATTCTGCACAAACAGTTATATTTTATTATAACAACATAAGTGAAAGAAAATTATATTTCTCAATTGCACAAATCCTTCATTAGAACATTTGAAAAACACACTTAAGAGAATCCAGTTAATTAACTATCGCAATTACAACAGGAAACACTTTTTAAGGTGCACAATCTCCACCGCCAACATTGCCAAAAGACGATGAACACAATTCTGCACAAAATATGACAGTATAAGTTATCAGAACTTAAATAAATATACACTATACACTCTCATTTGCATATCAATGTGTTCTTGAAGTAACATTTAATAAAAAAAAGAAGTGTAATAATTGGCAACATTTTAATAATAATATCTAATAATTCATAGGAATATTGATGTATAATTTATTTCCATATTCACTTGTGTCTCCCAAAATGCCTAATAAACATGATTTAAGTCCTGATGTCCTCTACAGTGGACATGTATGAAATCAGTGCCCTGTTCTGTAACAGAAAGTCATTTTTTGATTTGAAACCCCATAACATTTTAACAATGTCTGAGATGTTGGTTTCATGAAATACAATTTGAAAAGTAGTCCGATTTAAATTATAATTACACAGATTTGAAAATTCCTTTGGCTAATTACAGGGCCTAACGTTAACCCAACTGATGGAAATAAATAATAACTGAACTTGTAACAGTTTTGTTGCAAAGCACAATATTATGGTGAAATTAGATCTCGTGTTTGTTGAGTTAAAACCGAGTTATTGTTGTATAAGCATAGCAAGCATCGTAGCAAAAAGGCTAACAAAGTTAAGAGTTATACCCAGCAATTAACATTAGCCCTTCATTCATGACATGGATACCGTAATAATCATACAGAGAGAACATAGTTGCATACCTTTATCTTTTGCTTTCTCAGCAAGCAGGGGCGCCAATTTGCCAATTCCCCACACAGTGAAATGATAGATAATAGAAAACCGCTTCACGGCGGAGGTTTTATTTATTTTTTTTAACTGCTCGTGCCCCCCCCATGTATCATGAAAAAATGCCACCCCGGGCGGCTGCCCGATTCGCCCATGCCAAAAACCGCTACTGCTAACAGCATATGTTCATTAATGTTTCTCCAAGCGCCAGAAGTGAATGTGTGGGAATAGGATACAGAGAGATGGACGGAGGAGAGACAGAGACTTTATTGCTGTAACGTTACTTTCTTGGCTAGCAAGACAGTTTAGTTTGCAAGGCCCACTTTCTATGATATAATCAATTCCCAGTTAACAAAATCAAATACCGCCCACCTTTCTTTCTATCTTTCTTTCTTTCTTTCTTGATTTATGGAAACTATGGATGCACCGATATGATTTTTTTTGGGCTGATACCGATTTGAACAAACAACTATTGGCCGATTCTGATACCGATATCAATTGCATAAAGCAGGGCTTTAAAAAAATCGATCGGTTCACTCCGAGCAAAATCGGTATTAGAACGTTTCTGTTCCTGCCTTCCTCTGTATTATTACGTTCCGATTTTAGTAGAAAAAATACTGGTTAATAACGTTATTTTTAAAACTTTTTCTTTGCCAATAATAATAAAGTACAGTGCTTTTTTTACTCAAAAAGAAAAAAAAATAACGAAGAGAGTCTTGATCTGGTGCTTGCGCTTAGTCATAGCCAATACAGCATCACCTTTTCTAGATTTTGACCAAATGTATTAAACAAAAGAAATAAACTGTCAACGCTTTAAAGACATTAAAGTAGGCACTCAAGATATTTATAAATGTTTGCAGCATGGATAAAAAAAAACGCTACTTCTATAAGCCTTTTGAGAGGAAAAACAGCCTAAATTAGTAAGCTGTACGTCACATTTTATTACATTCAGAAATAATGCAGGCTAAAATACCGGTAAATAAAGCAAAATGCTTACAAACATTACAAACACAATTAGGATATTTTAGTTTCCTTCTCTCCACAACAAATCCTCTAAAGTTGTATTTAGGCTAAATATAAACGTCAAGCCAAAACAAATTCTTAAAGGTGCCATAGAATGCATTGATACAATATTTTAAATTGTTCTCTGATATCTACATAGAAGGTACGTGGCTTAGGTAAGGGCAAAACATTTCCAGAAACGGTTTTACATGTCCATTTACAACCCTAGGATTTGTCCCTAGAAGGAAATGGCCTGTTTTTACCTTATTTGGAAGGCTCATGAATAATAATGTTGAGCTCTGCTCTGATTGGCTGTTTCACAGTGCAGCTCATTTCAGTAGCTCACACAGCATGAAGGAAACACACGGAAAATATATTTCAATACTCTATCTCTGTTATATCGTTGGGTTATTATACTGTATATAAAATGCGGGCATCAGGGAGCCGCTATTAATATATTTCGAATGCACAATGGCTTTTTACTTTCACTTTGGAGATTTGCGATCGCATGTGCTCTGTGTAAACTACAGCGGCAGTACTTACCACACATTTATAAGATCAGATGCTTGTCAGTGGTGCTCAGGATCTGTAAATCATTCGCCATCATCCTCAGATTTTCGCTATTATCCTCACTTGTTTCTTCACAATACCTGCAGAACTTCTGATGATTCGGCTGTGCAGGTTGGGCTGGCGCCTGGTATAGAACAATATGCAAATGTTGGGGGCGTAACTATTAGTGATCCCACCTGTAACGTCACAGTCGGTGTTATGTTCTGATTCGCCTGCTTTCAGTGGTCTTTTGCATGCGCGAGATTTATATAAGGAGGAGGAAACAATGGTGTTTGAGGCTCAGGGTACGTCAATTCCATGTACAGAGCTGTTATTATTCAACTATGCCAAGGTAAATACAGTTTTCCATTCTATGGCACCTTTAAAAGTGAAACTGAATCCTACCTCTCTCATTCTGCATGAATCCAAATGTTTCCATATTCGCAACGTATCTGGATGTTAAAATATTTTATTATTACGTAAACTATATGCTTTGTTCTTCACTTTATCGACGTAAAGCATCATCCTTCACATAAGCTATAACAGCAGTGAGGCAGTGGTCACGCTGAACGACACAGACTGTATTACGGACTATTTAAATTGAGCAGTGTAACTTTTTATGTTTCTTAAACTACATTTTATTTTGATAATGAACAGGCTGCGATGTCAAGTTAGCAAAAATTTGTTGTATGTGCGTGTGAGGTGCCGATGACTACATTGTTTTCCCAACTGTTTCCCAATACCGAAATGAAATAAAAAAGTGCTTTCTGCCGTCTCGGTTTCCTTTCCGTGAACTTCAGAGCGTGTTATAATTATCCGAAATTTTTTTTCTTTCGTTTTGTTAAAATGTTAATTATTTCAGTGAAATATATTTTGTGTATAGGCCTATATATTCCTTTTTATGTAGCCAATATAGTTTTATTCTGTTTTCTCTGTTCACAGTGCGCAGGTGCGTGATGTGAGCTTGTGTGAATCCGTGTTCTACACTGGTTTCAAACACACAAAAAGCTGCATTACCTGCCATTCATTTTCACTTAAATGTAGGCCTAATGCTTGGCGGTTCGTGACGTATCCTCGGGGTAAACTAACGCCGGGGCATTGCCAGTAACTTACCTATAATGAATTTACAGCTGAGTGCGAGCATTTCACTCGTTGGATGCGTCAAGTGTCACATTTGCATAGGCCAGGGGTTCTCAAAGTTTACATTCAAAGGTCCGAATCTGAATTGTCATCAACGTCATAGGGTCCGAAATAATTATTACAAAGTAGGGCTGCACGATTAATCGCAAGCGATATTTAACGCACATCTTGTCAGAAAGCCGGTTCTGTAATCAGCGGTAAATCTCCATCACCTGCGGGCTTTCACATGGAGCAGCATTAACTACACAGAGCCGTTGTTCACTGACGAGCTGCGCCAAACCACGTTCATATTCGCGCGATTTTTAGCGCAGCTCCTCAGTGAACAACGGCTCTGTGTTGCGCGTTAAATATCGCTTGCGATTAATCGTGCAGCCCTATTACAAAGCTTGCTTTTAATAAACATGCTTATAACTTTATATAACAATTCAACTTTGCTAATTAACATATTCATTATGTCATCAAGCCGTACTTGCATTTACTCTGAACTGTTACATAAAGTACTGCGTTGTTATACAACTAAATGCCCAATAAAGCAGTTCTCATGTACATATTTTCTGTTTCTGAAATCAGTCACTTCAACTGAATCGCTAAAATCTTGAATTATAACTGCAATACGCTGTTTACATTGCAGTGAATTATATTACTTTATTTATATCATGCAGCATAAATGTCCGTCTGTGTAACAAACTACACTGAACAAAACACTGTAAACGCAACACTTTTGTTTTTGCCCCCATTTTTCATGAGCTGAACTCAAAGATCTAAGACTTTTTCTATTTACACAAAAGGCCTATTTCTCTCAAATATTGTTCACAAATCTGTCTAAATCTGTGTTAGTGAAAACTTCTCCTTTGCCGAGATAATCCATCCACCTCACAGGTGTGGCATATCAAGATGCTGATTAGACAGCATGATTATTGCACAGGTGTGCCTTAGGCTGACCACAATAAAAGGCCACTCTAAAATGTGTTTTA